TGACAGGTTTACCAGGGATCTCTATTGTGGGACTTCCCAAACATCACCCTGCAGTTCATTTCTACTCAAACAATCAATTCTAAGACTCCATTAGAACTACATCAAAATTCCTGTTCATAAAGGCTTTCAGGAGGAGCCTGGCTTTCCAATTATTTTAATTATTGACTTCAACTGAAACTATTTTTGTATAGCTTTAATGAACTGTGCAGTGCAAAACAAAACCAGTTTTGAAGCTACTGTGTAATAACAATCCCTTTTTTGAGATAAATGATTCATTATCTGATCTCCTTTCCTGCACTTTTAATTTTTCCCCCCTAACTGAAAATCCGACTAATTCCTTAGCTGTTTCACATTTCCATTTGACAGAGGGGTGCACTTCATTTGTACAAGGCACCTCTCAATTCAACAAAACCAATAGAATAACGCAGGTATGCATCATTGCCTCTTGAACAAAGAGAAAACTAACATTGCTATTTTCTCAAGACTGATATACCCATCATCCTTCCAGGTTAAAAGACATTAGACATAAAAAAAACCAGACATAATGTCATCTTTCAGTCTCTCTCCCTCCTTTCCTGAAATCAAGCAACTAAAAGAACCAGGCCCTCCTATTGAAACAAGTATAAAGTTCAGATCCTGAATGAACAGGCTGTCTGCCAAAGGGAAGGAACCAGCCACAGAAAATCAGTTTTCAGAGCAGTTTCCCATTGACCAATGTAAGTGGGCTCAGAGATGAGGCATCTTTCTCGCGATTGTGCATGAATCAGCCACAACCCCATTGTCAACAGAAGCTCTATCTAACAATGCTCAGTCTCTATCAACTCCAAGCAGAGTTCACCACATGCATACAATTTAATGGAGCACATACCTGTTTCTAATCGTGATGAATATTGATACAAGAAATACAAATTCACCAAGTAGAGAAATCCTGTTCCAGGTCCCACTGGGAAGAAGAAAGTTGCAGTTATCGGCCGCCAGATCTGTTCAGATCAGAAGAGAAAGATATATTTATACATTGTAGAATGAACTCATATGCATGAGTTTTTTGTTTTCGCTTGTTATCAATTACTAGGAAGATCAAGGAGGAGATTAAAAATAGTCCAAGTATCAGTTAATGCTGCTTCAGCAGCTTTTACAGTTGGGGTTTGTTGTTGGGTTTTTTTGGTTTTTGTTTGTTTTTTTTTTTTAAATTCAATAAGCAAAGCTATTAAAATGACAACAGAAATCACACACTACTTCCCAGATCGCTGCCATCACATCTTTGCAGTACTGAGTCTTAATGCAGTGCTAAAGGGTTATGCTTGCAAAGATGCTATGTTGTTTTAAAAGCAACCATACAGAATCCATTCTTACCTGCTGTACAGGGGCCAAGGAATTCACACAACAGCCTTTAGCGTATCACTCCAGACAGCATATGCTGCTCTGAGCATTTTGCACCTATTTTAGAGTCTCCCAGCTATCAGTACTGGGCACAGCGAAATGCATGGCAGCACAGAGCATGAACAGAAAGTGCCTGGCTGTCTATAAATGAGCTCTTTAAGTAGCAACACTTCCAAATAGAGCATTGGGATCCTGAATATCATAGATCCAGGAAGAACAACAGAACTAGAAAAAAAACAACAGTCTAAGCTACAATCTACTAAATTTTGGGGACAACACATGAAACAAACTACAGATAGTACTATATTTTAATCTATTTTTGTACTCAGCTTTTTTTCACTGAAGATATAATGAGCACTTAAAGGCTGGGATCTTATCTCCTCCTTCACTTTCATTTTCAGTTCATCCAATCCTTGCTCTCCCCTTACACACCTGCATACCAAAAGACTGAACCAGTAACCTCCCAGCACAAGGAAAGATTACGTCCAGTTTGTGAACACTTTTGCGAACACATCCAGAAACACTGTACATTTGAAACCTCAGGACTTCAGTTGTTAATTTGTATCAACCATACCTAAGCACAGAAGCTGACAATCCCAAACACAAGCTTTTTCAAATTCCAAGCAAAAACCACTAAGAAGGTGCAAAAAATACACTTTATTAGCTCTGCCTTAACATCTCCGGAGCCACCTGAGGTTTAGGACAGTTGCACAGCTGCCTGCTAACCTCTGTTCCTACAGTCACACCCACACAACCACACAGCAGAGGCTGGGCAAGCCACCTGAAGTCACAGCCCCAGGTTTTATCATTACGGAGTGCCTTGGCACATCAAGCGGTGCCAGACAGAACAATTCCTCCAAGCAACTTCGGAAAAAAAAAGCACCACAATAAGACGCAAGATGAACTGCAGGGCCTATCAAGGGCCATAGGCTTCCTTGCCTTGCCCAGGGGCCCTGGGTCAACTTGGCAGAGAGCCTGGGGCTCTTCTTGAGGAGGCAGAGCCCTAGCTAAACCCGGGGTCGCAGGCTCTTAGGTCAAGCAGGAAGGTAGGCCTGGCTTCCCGCGGGAGACGATCAGAGTCACT